TGTACAAAAACGAGCTGATCTTCATATATACTAATATATGTGAGAGGGGACACTGTTGTGTGTGTGTGTGTGTGTGTGGGATGATTTTTTGTTTTCAACCCTTATGTGCGATGAAGATTTGTTGATAGAAAGCTCCGCAGTACATTTCTTGACTTGCACTGGCTAAAAGATTCGATGCTAGAAACCCTTGAGCTGCACTTTCTTCAGCTGCAGAAGAGCACAGGCGTCGATGTCGGGATAAGGAAGATGCAGATGCTGAGGCTTTGTTGTCTAAGCTGCTTAACCTTGTACACGTGAAGCACACTGTGTTCATGACCTCAAGCGACCTAGTTCCTAGGCCTCGCCCCACATCTGCTTAAATTTGTAAATGTTCAGCAGCAGCGTGTTTCCGATGTTACGTTTCTGATCATCCTCATTATCGGCTAAGCACGCACGGGAAACCCAGGCATCATGCGATCATCATGCCACTCAGTAGGCCAAGACGAGAGACGAGAAATCGACATTGGGCCGAGGAGCATCCTCTGAGGAAGACGACGACGAACCGGAGCTGGACGAACTGGAACGTTTCCTGGAGCGTCGGGGGGGGCTGCGAGCAGGCTCTTGCATGCGATCATGTGGAGCCGCTTCTTCATCATGCAGTGCAGGCTCGTGGACGGAATCATGTAGACGCAGACCAGAATCGTCATCATGACGGGGGGCTGGAGCAGACATGTCCTCTTCGTTCTCCTCGCGACGGTTCTCGGCCACCCCATCTTCGAGAGCTAGTGGAGCTGCACGTGCGTATTGTTTACGAACGGGACGAAGAAGCCACGAAGCGAGAGCCGTGTCCGCGTCTTGCGACCACTCACCACTTGCAGATGACTTTAGCCCGAGGCCACGTTGGATGTTGGAAAATTCCATCTGCAAGCGTCTCAAGGACAACGCTTTCTTCGACTCATGGACGTCACGAGTACCACTGTGGATCTCTGCGGTGACATCCTTGGAGTTCGGCAGCTTGGCAAGTGCTTTCTCGAACACATTCACGACGGGTTCAGCAGTGTCACGAGTCGAGCCACCGGACTGTCGACCCGGCACCAAGCCCACACCGAGCTCCAAGAAGACACGGCCTTCACCCGCTGCGCGGACGTGGCCGACCACGGGCAACATGGAGGCACGTTATGGCGGTCTGAGCCTGAATGCTACCGCTAGAACTTCTTGGAGCCAATAAGCCAAAACCGTGCAAGCAGGGAACTGCCGCTCGTGACACATGCATTGCAGGCAAGCAGGACAAACAAGAGGACGCAGTATGTTTATGCTTTCGCTAGACACCCAATAGCCAGCCAAGCATTTGTACTGCCATGTATGCCCGTCTCGAAGATGGCTTTTTGCGAATGGGCGTTTTGGCAACCCCTCGACTTTTCGCAGTGGTGCGCGCCTTGCGTTTCCGAATATGGTTATTAAAAACTTGCATGCCTCAAGGACCCAAAACTTGTGGCTATGGGGTCGTAGTCCGTTGAGGAAGAAGTTTGACGGACGAAGCCAGGCATTAAAGATTTCGGACATGTTGGTCCTAACACCATGGCTTCGAGCTACTTCCCGCTTGGTAAGGCGTCTTTTCTTACAAGTATATATGATTACAACGGTGAAACTCATCAATTATGTAGAACTTGACAGCGTCAAAGCCGTCCTCCCTGTGCTTTTTTACATAGTCTTCAAAGTGGCACGCGTCATCGTGGAGGAGCAAGTCCACCTTCATGGTCGGCATGGCTAGGACGGCTTATCGTAGCCGAACTGTGTCTGTGTTGCGCTCATTAACGGTATGTTCGGTTGCCCCAGCACAGACTGAGAGATTTGGTCAATGGCAAACTGCCAGCCCGCGGTTCGGTCTGGTAGAACTTTTCGAGTTGCATCTTTGTGTTTGCACCCGCTCGACCTGGTAAAATCCTCCAAAACTTTTCGCGGCGTACCTTTGAGCTGTCCTCGCTGGATCTACCCCTGGTAGAAGGCGACGATGAACTCCAAAGTGGCTATCGCGTACCCTTCCAAAGCATGCAAGAGGTGATCCCGCGACTATGCCCCTGCCAAGACTGGAGTGGATGATCTGACCTGGAGAGGTCTTAGCACGAAGGAGACGAAGATAGCATAGATGGAGGTACTCCATCGTGAATGCAGTTTTCTGGGAGACGAAGAACACGCCGGCGACCTTGGGCTGGTTGAAAGACACACAAGTGATTCGCTGATCACGAAGCCACATAAAGTTGCAAGAGTTCCCGCCTTTGGAAGTAAAGGTGTTGATTTTCTCACTGTTGGGTACATTGAGTACAAAGAAAACGCTGCGGCACAAACAACATGCTTGCAATTGCTGCAGTGGTCAACAGTCAACAGCCGGGCATGTTCTATGTCAAGTGCTTCAGAAGACCGAGCACCACAGCCATCCAGTGTGTTTCATGGGCAAGGCAAAGCGAGACTCAAGCTGAAGATGTGTACCCATTATAAGCGGGAAGCTGCGACCTACCTGGCTTTGTGCGACCCGCAATCCTGTACCTCACTCCTCGTCGTCCGCCTGGCCCACCTCAGGGAAGTCAGACACAACTTCGTCAGCAGCCCACTTGCCATGGATCCTGCGGCGTTTGGGTTGGACGGGCTACAGTAGCAGCGTCCAAGTCAATCATGATGTCACTGGAGTCACGGGGCAAGGAGGAAAAGATGCCGGGCTCGGTCTTCACGGCACGGGCACTGCGGTCCAAGGGGCTGTGTCAGGTACTTCTGGTGCAGGAGCAACGACTCCAACGGACAATGCGGGCATGACGTGAGAATGTTCACCAGAACTTTCACTTGGTGCAGGCGCAGGAAGCTGGGATGCGAGATCTTGAGGACCAATGTCCACCACCACTCTGCCTGAAAAGGGAAGATCGGGCTTGGTCTTGATGCGTTTACTGCCCCCTGAGAAAGGCAAGTTCGTCTTGCAGACTGTAGTCCTTTCTGGTTCCATGCCCTTCTCGAGAACCATCGTCACTATATGGGTCGTGAGACCGTTGCCTCTTCCCCAGATAGTCGGCAGGGGGGTCCTTGATTCCGGCCTGCGTCAGTGATGCCATCGTCGTAGTGGACCGAAGGGACTGGGGAAGTTCCTGCACCAGCTTTGCGGACATACAAGGCACGTCGAAGGTTGACATCTCAATAGGAGCATTTGAGGAGTGCCATCTTGTCCTGCTTGGACGACTTGTCAGGAAAGGCCGGTGTAACAATGTCAAGGAAGGTGTTGAATGGGATGGTGGTCTGGCCAGGCACAATGTACTCTTCTGCCGATTCATCCACTTTGTTGTCGCACAAGACTCGTAGCTGATGCCTCACGAATTTGGACGTCGTCCATCGCTCCACGGTGAACGTCTCTTCCAGGGTTGCGTCAAGAAAGGCCTTCAGCTTGGAGATGGGAATCTGGCTGCAGTCGGGGTCGTCGAGAACGTCAGGGGCATGCTTCACAACAGGTTCTCCGCGAAGCTGATCAAGACCCGCGCAAGGTCGGAAAGCCGGCCGCTGGTCCCACGCCATGTTGTCAACAAGCAGCCAGTATTCCGACATGGCCAAAGCGAGCGCCTGGGCAGCTGGGATCTTACCACCCTTTTCGGGCAATCCCACGAAGGCGACTTAGACTTCAGGGTAGGCAACGCAGGGATGATGACATCGTGCCAGAACCATGCGCTCAGGTCATGCAGTGTCACGTAGAAGTTGCTGGCGCGATCGGCGAAGACGTTTGAATTAGCGTAGCCACGCAGGGATTTCTTCACGAGGCCAGCAGACCATCCACAAATCGGGCTCCCTTCCCTATGAGTTTCGATTTCAGTCCATTCCGTCTGACGGTTCTGCATGTTGGAGCGGGGGCCCTCTGTGCGAATGAAGCTGAAGCCGGCGTCGAGACCTGATTTGTGTTTGATCTTGCGCTTCGCCTTGGCTTCTTGAACCGAAACCTGAAACCAAACCACATCACTGACCATTGTCCGACATGCCCGAGGAGACACTGGAAGCCCTTGAGATCAGCGCGAAAGTTCTTTCCGCAGTCAATGATGAGGAGCTCGCCATCAAGACGGTCCTGGAGGAGTTTGGCAGACATCTTGGCATCAAAGATGTAATGCTTGATAAACGTCCATTGTCTATCCTCTGCCTGCTGTCCGACAAGCTGCATCTCGAACTTGATGTTGGGACCGGGATCTGCTGCGAGTGTGTTCGGCAGGGAACCATACCTACGACGGGAGACATTGCTGTAGAGGCTGTCAAAGTCGAAGGCCGTGGAGGGCAGAGGATTCAACCATTCCACGACTGATTTCAACTTGGTAGAAGAGGACCGCATTGTTCAATGGGGGCAAGCTGATATTAACCAGCTCACCTGCGCGAACACGTATCACGGCTGTCTCCAGTGGACGAAAATCCAGAGGAGTTGCTAGTACCTGCGCGAAATCCTTCGGCGGGAGTTCGAGACAGCCATAGCGCGAATCTAAGTTAAAATCTCGAGTTCCAAGTGTGGGCTGCAGACGTGCAACACCGGCATTGTTTCAAAACAGAGCAGATGTTTTAAAACATGGAGACACTGATTTCGGACTCATGCATCCAAGTTGAACAGCTGGTTCACGTACAGTACTTCGTATGCCAGTGTTTCTAGTAGACGCATGCGATTGCACAGAGACGCGCCACATGGAGATTTCACAGCGAAGATGGGGACGGACGGAAGCGCAGAGGACCGGAACCAAAAGAACCAAAAAAGCCAGCATAGCCAAAGACTTCCACACTAGTGCAGACTTCGGAGTAGTGTGGAAATCTGTGGTTTGTTTCTTTTTATGGTTTGTTTGTTTTTTGGTTTCGGTTACCAATGCATGTTTGAACCACGAGCCTGGTGTTGAAACGAAGATATCCACACAAAGAAAAGAGTAGAGTACATACACGCACGTGTCGAAGGCATGCAGAAAGGACTGTTGGCAGAAAGGAAAACGAACTAGCCCTGAAGCTGAGCAAACGAACATCTCCAACAGATAGAAACAACCATCTCCAACGGATAGAAACAACCGTTTTCCATCCCACGCAACAGTCCTTTCTGATATATGTACGTATCCATGCATAATGCATCTATGCCTATATATACACATGTGCACACACACACACACATATATGATCATATATATCTACACATGTACTATACACCTATATATATGTATATTTGTTTATTTGTTGGTTTATGTAATTAGCTAATTACTTAATTAACTAACTACTTGCCTAATTGATTAATCAATTGACAAATTAAGCAGTTAACTTCACTAATCAAGGAATTAACAAATTGGTGAATGAATTAATTCATTGATTAATTAATTACTGAATGCATTAATTAACCAATTAGTTAGTTACTTAATTGTGTCTTAATTTGGCTAACAACATTGCTAACCCCCCACCGCGAGGTGCCGCGATAGCTCCACCAATCCTCCCAGGCTTAGGCTTCTGGTGTATGATCCCGGCTTAGCGTTAGGTTTTGAACCTCCCAGAAGACAGCATATGCATATTGGCAGCCGCCTTCATTCTCAATTCTTGCGACCCTTCATGCAGATACTCTGGAGAGATAATTTCCACAACGATGAGAGTCTGTCTGAATACCCG